GACAATTAAGCTCCCTACACAATAGCAAACACATTAAAATGGAAATGTCAACTTGTTTTCCCTAAGTTTAGATTTTCATAACCTAGAACCACTTTTTTTAGCATAACGCAGAGAAGACTCATTTTTAAAGTCTTAGCACAACAGGTTTAGCACAACAATGTGAATGCACTTAACACTACAGAACTGTACACTTAAAAATGGTTAAGATGGTAAAGTTTGTTATGTATATTTTACCATAATTTTTAAAACAACACAGGCTCTAGAGCATGCATTACCAACACCAATAATATGGTTCCCAAGTGGGCCAAAATTGTTGTATAGGGTGTGGTAGGGAGTTTACATAATAAAGCACCCGAGCCGTACATAGATATACAGTATACCTGAAGTATAAATATTTGGTGGAGTTGGGGGCAGTGATTAGGAAAAAAATAATTCTAAAGAGCTTTCTAGAGGGGCAGTAATGAAAAAAAAAAAAAACACCCACTGCTTGAGAGAAATTCTGTTTAATTTAAATTCAGCTCCAACACTTACTTTACTAGCTATGTAATGACTTTGGATAATTCAATCTTTTGTGACTCAGTTTTCTCAGCTATAAAATGGAGCTTCGATTGCTATGATTAAATAAATGAATGCATGCAAAGCACTTAAAACAGTGTTTTGTACATGGCAAGTACTTAACGAATCTTAGCCATTTTAACAGCACTGTGCTGGATTATAGTTACCAAGAAAACTGCATATGCTCTAAAAATTTATAATCTACTCCCCTCAAAAAAGTCTAAGAATGGAAGGTATCAGCTGACCACAGACTTCTTTTTTTTTTTTTTTTTTTTTTGAGACAGAGTCTCACTCTGTTGCCTGGGCTAGAGTGAGTGCCGTGGCGTCAGCCTGGCTCACAGCAACCTCAAACTCCTGGGCTCAAGCAATCCCTCTGCCTCAGCCTCCCAAGTAGCTGGGACTACAGCCACCACGCCCGGCTAATTTTTTCTACATATATTTTTAGTTGTCCAGATAATTTCTTTCTATTTTTAGTAGAGATGGGGTCTCACTCTTGTTCAGGCTGGTCTCGAACTCCTGACCTTGAGCAATCCTCCTGCCTCGGCCTCCCAGAGTGCTAGGATTACAGGCGTGAGCCACCGCACCGGGCCCTGACCACAGATTTCTAGAAGAGAGTAAATGGTTTTGTTACTGATGGATAAAACATGGTAGCCTAAACCAAACCCAGGATACCACATCAGAAGCTGGAATTGCTGCACCTGATGCTTATAAGTTGTAAGCTCCAAGTTCTGAAGATGTGTAAAGGATGAGTTGGAGGTTCACCAAAAATGATAATTATTTGAAAAAATATCTCTGGAATTGTTCTCCCCTCCCTTCTCCAGTGGTGGTGTTACTGACTCTAAAACAAAACTAGCAACTAATTCCAATGAAATGAAACAACAGAAGCAAAGTTTCAGATTTATAAATCTATCTACATTTTGTCTTTTTTTTTCCTTCAATGGCTTGGGGGGACACTAACAGGGAAAGACATGTTGTTTTCAATTCAGGAACCCTTAATTGAAGCCACCAGTCCTTCTCTTTTTCTCTAAAGTCCAGTACTTTTGCTAGAATATATCTTGGTATTGGTCATCTGAATCAATTTGTCAGGAACATGGTGTATTATTCTTCTAATACGTAGTTTCAATTTTTTTTTTTAATTTCAGGAACATTTTAATTATAGTTTTATTATTTGTTCTGTTATGTTGCTTTGGTTTTCTTTTTCAGGAACCTCTATTACTTGTCTCCTTTGCCTATCTTTCTGATTTGTTACTTTCTCTAGAATCTTCTTTATCTAATAAATTTCTTTTTCTTAAATAGGGACTATGAAACAGAAAGACAATGAAGTATTAAAAAATAAATTAAAAAATAAATAAAATTTCTTCTTCTTTCCACCTTCTACTTTTTTTCTCTAATGGTATTATTTGCTTTTGCCTTGCTTCTATTTTAGGCTTCATTTTTAAAATGATTTTTTCCATTTATTTCTAATTTTCTTTGGGTCTGTCATCTCATGCCTGAGTTTTCATAACTGATACATGCTGTTCTTTCATGTCTTAGATCATTTTCTTAGTGCCTTTTAGCGCATTCTGAGATAGTTACAGTTTTGGTGTTTTGTGTGCATGTTTTTGTTCCAAGTTTTTATTGTCTGTAGGGATATCATTCTGTTTCCTTTTTCCCCTATAATAACTTTGTATGTGATTTGCCCTCAGTACTTTTCTGTTGCTCATTTTTATGTGAATTTAATTTTCTTGAACTTTTAGAATGAGTAGGGGTTCAGGAAAGCTTTAACTTCACAAAGCTCCCTCTTCTGCTGTTTTTGGATAGCGTTAAAAAATATGGTGGTTTGCTTGGTGGTTTGTTTTCTAAGATTTCTTGACTCTGTGACTCTCCTTCACTTTTATGTGTACCATCTTCTTCTCTTTCCTTGTCCCTACTGCCCCTTTCATGATAAAATTTTATTCCACTCCCAGAAGTTTCCCCTTATGATGGGCTCTGCCCTAGAATGGTGCCTTTGCAAGACAGTTTTGACAGTTCATAGGAAGTAGACTACTGCTGCTTTGGTCTTTCTTATGGTAGACCCTTCACTCAGTCTATACTGGAGAGAATAAAAACCCTCAATTTCAGCTACTATCTCATTGGCCAGCACAATCTTTTCATGAACACCAGCTGACTATTTTGGAATTCTCCTGTTCTCAGGTCCATCAGATGTTGCCCCATCGCTTCCTTCTTCCTCTAGCACAGATGCCAACAGTGATTGGGTCTAGAGACTATCAGTAGTTTGTTTCACTTAGTTATACTTTGGGGTTCATGCAGATTCCATACCACGTGGTTTCTTGTAATTGTTTTACGGATTTTAAATTTTGCTATCTAGGCCAGGTGTGATGGCTCATGCCTGTAATCCCAGCACTTTGGGAGACCAAGGCAGGAGGATCATTTGAGGCCAAGCATTCAAGACCAGCCTGAGCAACACAGCAAGATCCTGTTCCTACAAAAAAAAAAGAAAAAAAAATTGACCGAGCATGGTGGTGTGCACCTGTAGTCCCATCTATTTGAGAGGCTGAGGTGGAGGATCGTTTGAGCCCTGGAGCTTGAGGGTGCAGTGAGCTACGATTACACCACTGTACTCTGGCCTGGGTCACAAAGCAAGACTTTGTTTCTTAAAAAAAAAAAAAATTGCCATCTAGTTTTTCTTTCTGTTTTTATGTGATGATCCAGAGAGACCGAAAAACTACGCTGTTTTCCTAGAAATCCACTCCTCCCAACCCCTTTCCCCAGCTTTTGAACTATTGTGACTTATTTAGGCATTATCATCTTTAAGTTCTGCTTGAGACAGAAGCTGGTAGCCTTTTTGTCTCTTTTTAATCAAACATTTTCAAAAGACATCACTTCGATGGACCAAGTATTAAAGTTTATTTACAGTAGAGTTTTAAAATAATCCTACTCCTAGTTTCTATCCATAGTAAAGCTTTCACAAAACTTTATCTTAATGTCCACATCATAAAGTTGCCTTACAGAGATTATTTTTGTTCTTCAGTAACAAAATTCCTCAGGATGGAGAGAATCCAAGATATTATTACCAAACTCTGTACCAAAAAGTACAGAATAAACATATTACTGAACAAATAATATATTATCAACCATTCTGAATAACGACCACATTATTTTTGCACCTTAGAGATAAAGTGACTGACACATGGCAGGTACTTGAATGTTTGATGACTGAAGGATCCAGGAAATGTCAAAGTTTCTTGTCTCCATTTCCGCAATGCACTGGTATCCTTTTTAACCCTTCTCTCCAGAAAAAGTATCCCTAAATCTACCTATGTTTCAAATAAATTAAAGGTAAGCTAGCATTGTGGAATTTTTTGTAAGCTTTTTCTCATATATCAGATCTGACTGGAATTCAACAACAAAGAATCCTTTCCAGAAGTTTAGCTCTACCTTCATGCTTATAACTACTTTTTAAAAAGATTAAACCATAACTTAATAGCATGATGGTGTTCGCCGGATTATTTTCCCCCACTATTTATACAATGCTACCCATCACGACTAATTCAATAAACTATGCAAATTTCAAAACTAATTTTTTTCTGTAAAACATAAAACACACGAGAGATCTATCAAATTCATTAAATGTGACAACGCTAAAGTATCACCCAAAATCTAGTTTACCTAATAGACGACTGCTTTCTTTTCTCTTTCCACAGTTACAATATATAAACTACATTTTGGAATCTATACATAACAGTGCCCCGGGATCATTATATACCAAATAGTAGTAGTAGTATTAATGCTCTAATAACAATTTGTTTCTCTTTCTCTCATACACACACAGCGAGGCCACCAAATAGAGTCCCCCCCCACCTTGTCAAAGTGCTTTATGTTTGTTTTGGCAATAGGGGATTGGTACTGTCTTTAAGAGAACAGAATACATGTAACAAAAGGCATCATAAATGTGAACCACCTGCTACGTCAAAAAGTCTAGGCGCTGGGGATGCGGGGTAATGCAGCTCTTGATAAGGGAAAGTAAACAAGGTGATTCAACTGCGGAGGCGGTTGTTATTGTTCGTGAGTCTATTTCTTTGGGGCGGGGGGGCTCCGAGGAGATCTGTTGCAGCCTCGCAGCGTCTATAAAGAAAAAGGCAACTTGCAGCTCCCCGGGGAGAAAAGGGGAGAACTCGTTAAAAGCGTTCCTTCCCAGGACTTAATTTCGGAGTCGCGGAAGGCCCTGCCCCGGCAGGAGAGCTGTCAGACCTGCCCTGAATCCCGCGGCTCTCCCCACAGAAACGCAACCTGCGTCTTTGCCCGCTTTCATGCCATCCGAGCGTCCTCAAACCTGTCCCCCTCCCTATGCCACTCATCCGGCAGACGAGCAGAAAGAGGCTGGAAAGCGCCAGTGCTGGGGTGGAGAGAGGGCTCCGTAGCTCCGGGGTCTCGGCCCTCAGAGCCGCTGCCCCTCGCTCACCCACCTGATGCTCTTTCACCACTTCGCTGAGGCAGGGATACCGCTCTGAGATCCATCGGTAAAACTTGGGGACTCCCATTTCGACCGTCAACACCAATTCCAGTCAGGACCAAACCGAAACCAAACGCCCCGCCGGGCCTACGCCGCCGCCTCCTCCGGCCGTCGCTCTGCAGATGACAACACTCAGCCCGCCAGACCATAGAGAGGCCAGGCGGCCTAGAGCGGCAGCTCCCGAGGCCGCGTCCCGGGGGCGGGCCTTGGTCCCGCCTCCCTTGCCCCGCCGCTCGGCGCCGTGGGGCTCCCTGGGGGTTGTGTGGCAGAGCGCAGAGGAGGTTGGGCGTGTGTTTAGACTTAGCTCTGAAAATGCCAGCTGATGGAGCTGTGCTACATACGCGGGTTTAGAAGTGGTATGAAAACACACGAGACTATTGGAAGGGTATTGAACACTGATTTTTGTCCTGGCTTCTGTCTCCTGGAACTGCTAATCTCAGTATTTTTCAACACAGATTTGGCAAGGTCTCGAGATTTAAACCTAAAGTTCCTTTTAAAAACGTTCTTTTCAAAATTGTTGAAAAATATTAACTACCCCCTTCACGTCCCCCCATCGCCTCTCGCCACCTCCCTTAACTGTTAACATTAGGCCCTAGAAGGCCATGATGTTGTTTTCACATTCATGCCTCATGGTTTATCATATTTTTCCCCATCACAATTTCAAATATCTTTGTTTTAATTTAAGAGTTTTTGCATTTATTTGACTGTAATAACCTCATTATTTTGTAATTATTTTCATTTCTTTTAAATCTCTGAGAAAATTTATGGAAAAAACTTAAAAACATTAAAGTTTTTAGATTTTAAAATCTCTTGGAATTTTAAGTATTGCTGTCTTCCATGACCACTGGACTCTGCATTCTGGTATACCTACACTATGGGAGTATCTTTAAAATTAAAGAATGTTTTAGTTTTCATATTCATGCTTCTTGGTTTATGTTTTTCCCTAACACACTTTCGGACACACCAAAAAAAGAGTTTTAAGTGAACTTAATGATGTACTATTTACATTTCTCTCTCTCTCTCTCTCTCTCACTAGTCTGTCAGTTCCCCAAGGGCAGGAGAGGTAGTAGCTCCGTGCACAACTCTAGCACAGTGTCTTACCCACAGCATTTATTCCGTGTAATTACATCGTTGTTCAAATGAATCCTTACACTAAGCTAGTACTTTTAAAAGGCAATCAATAAAAGTGTAAAATGAAACTAGGCTGGTTTGCTTCTTGCAAATACATTGTTCGACCATAAGAACACATGATGTTCCATTTCTCTAGTTAGAATACACAGGTATTAAGAAAGATGTTTATTTCTTAATAACTGAACATATATTATTTTAAATATAATTAAAAATCAAGGAGAAATAATACCAGTTGCTCTAAGAACATAAACATATTATACTTCAGAATTGAATAGATACAACCACAGATTAATACCAAATGCATGAATTTTAGATTAACATATTCTTTGAAATAATTTCATTTCACATATATGGGGTCCAACCAAGGTACATTTGGCATAGTAAGTTTTCATCAGTAGCTTCTTGTATAAGGTAATGCACGTGTCCTTCAATAGATAATGGCAGCCCTGTCACTCTATTTCGGGTCTTGATTACACCTTGTAGTCGCTGCTCGATGTCAAGAACATGGGTCTTGGCCTAACAAGAAGAAACAGAAAATCATTAGGGCTAAGGACCCAATAACATGTGGATGTTGATAATTTGGAATAACTACCTTTCTTGATATTGATATTTAATAAATGTTAACACCATTTTACTGATCAATAACCCCTTTTGTAAGAGCAAATACAGAAAAAGAAGAAATGAAACAAATACAGTAACTTCAGACTGATTTTGAGGCTTGCAATATTGATTCAACATCAACTGCTTGGACATGTATCTGGGCTACATAAAATAACAAATAATTCTTTCCATGTTATAATTCTAGAAAAAAAAATTACTTAAAAAATCTGCCTTGAAAGTGCTTAGGACTTACACATTTGAACAAGTATCCTAAAATAACAACAATGCTCTAATGCCTAATATTTACATTATGTTAATATATGGAAATAAAAGTTCTAAGTGAGCTTGTTGGAATTCTATACTTTCTTTCTTTGTTTCTTTTTTTTTTTTGAGTTGGGGTAGGTCTTGCTCTGTCACCCAGGCTGGAGTACAGTGGCATGATTATAGTTCACTGCAGCCTTGAATTCCTGGACTCAAGTGATCCTCCTGCTTCAGCCTCCCAAGTAGCTGGGACTACAAGCATGTGCCACCACACCTGGCCAATTTTTAAATTTTTTTTGTAAAGAAAAAATTTCTCTACTATATGTTGCCTAGGCTGGTCTTGATCTCCTTGCCTCAAGCAATTCTCCCACCTTGGCTTCCCAAAGTGGTGGCATTACAGGCATGAAGCACTGAGCCTGGCACACATTTCTTTCTTAAGAAAGTATATCAGAATGCAAAAGTGAGCATGTTACCGGAAAAATAATCCTCAACCTATTCTAACTTATTACAAATAACTAATTGACTGTAAACTTTGAGGCTTCAACTAATTTTAGCAAGAAGTGAATTGCTGCATTTGTCAAGATAGATTGTGGCACACTGGTATCATGATATTAAAGCTCATACCTGCTACTCTGTCAGTTTAGGCAATTTGTGCTCAAGTTTTTCCCACTATTTCTCATAATTATGAATTGTCTATGGTTAAACTAGTATGCCTTGAATTTTGTTTTATTATACAAATGCTAATAATGTTAACATTAGTAATGATGATAAAGAAAACTTACGGCATTGTCATACTAGAGAACTAGATTTCAGAGTAATCAATAGTTGCAACATTTAGAATCAGTTCTCATTTGTAGAGATGAGAACTATAGCTCATGTCAAGCTACACCTTATACTAACCTTTTCATTGACAACTTCCCCAGTTTCATTCAGTGGTGCTTTGGAATGCCCTTTCACCGGTTTACTCCACTCCACAAGAGGATCATGTAGAAAAGTCTTTAAGACACTAAAATTGAAACAATTATGGTAATAATACAATGTTATCTTTTTTTTTTTTTTTTGAGACAAGAGTCTCACTCTGTTGCCTGGGCTAGAGTGCCGTGGCATCAGCCTAGCTCACAGCAACCTCAAACTCCTGAGCTCAAGCGATCCTTCTGCCTCAGCCTCCTGGGTAGCTGGGACTACAGACATGCGCCACCATGCCCGGCTAATTTTTTCTATATATTTTTAGCTGTCCAATTAATTTCTTTCTATTTTTCGTAGAGATGGGGTCTCGCTCTTGCTCAGGCTGGCCTCGAACTCCTGAGCTCAAACGATCCACCCGCCTTGGCCTCCCAGAGTGCTAGGATTACAGGCGTGAGCCACCGCGCCTGACCATACAATGTTATGTTTGCAAAAAGAAATCTTGCTAACATCAACACTTAAGAATAAGTGAAGAATGAGAAGCTAATGATAATACTCTTACAATATACATTACTACCTTTTCAGTAAGATACATGAAATTATTGTTTTGGTGTAAGGGGAGGGTAAAGGAAAGATAGGGAGAGGAAAGGCAAAATAGAGGAGAGTCAGAGGTGTTTTGGAGAGTAGAGTAAGATTAGTTTTATGTGCTATCTCTAAATGTATACTGTGAATTGGTAAAATGACTATCTATTGAATGAATGAATTTTATCCCTTGCTATGTCTTCAATAACTATATAATACCTGTAGCTACCATATAGACCCTGGCTAGACATTTTTCCTGTGCTATAAACATCAAATCCAACTACCTATTAGACACTGGGGTGTCTTGGGTGTCTGGTAAGCACCTCAAGCTCAATATCTCCAAGGTAAAACTGATTATCTTTTCCCAACTATTTCTCCTGTATTCCTCAAATCTGTAAAGAAAAATATCATTGACCCATTTGCTATAGATAAGAATCTAGTAATCATCCTTGCCTCCTCTTTCTCTAATATCCAATTCCACCTCCTAAATCTCTTTAGAATCTATCTCCAGCTCTACTGCCACTACACCATCTAATACATTATCATCTCTTCCTGCGTTACTGCAATAGATCTTTAACTAGTTTTCTGGCCATTAGTAGCCCAAACTAGAATCCTAATTTTCCTGCAGTGCAAATCAGATTATCTCATTTCCTTCTCTGCTTTTAAAAAATTTCCTTCTTAAAATGCTTGGATGATTTCTGATTGCTCTCAGAGCAAAGTTTAAACACAAAAACAGGCCTCATGTAGGCCCCTCATAATCTACCCCCTGCCTACCTGTCCAGCATCATCTCTTAGCACCATTTCCTTGAAGTATACCCACTACAGTATTGGGTTTTTCAGACAGGCCATGCCTTCACTTGCCTTGATATTGCTATCACTCAGAACACTCTCTTCCCCTTTGCATGGTCAACTTTATTTATGTTTAAGGTCTCAGCTATTTCCTCCAGATATTATTTCCTGAAATCCCCCTTATGTTGGTATAAAGTTAGACATATAGGTCAATGGAATAGAATTGTTGAAAATCAATTGACTGTTTTCAACAAAAATGCCAAGACAAGTAAGTGGGGAAACAAATGCCACAGAGGCTCCTGGTAAGTGTCTCACAAGGTGATATACTTCCTCTTTCACAGAATTTGCCTTTGCCTACGTCTAAATAACCAGTGTATTTTACCATAATATCTGGTAGACAACTTTTAAATAAATACAAAATGTATTAAGGAGCTTAATTAAAAGGTCTTTTAAAAAATCTGCTGTCCACAACTAACACCATACTTAAAGGTGAAAGACTGACTGCTTTACTCATAAGATCAGAAACAAGACAAGGATGTCCACTCTTACCATGTCCATTTGACATTGATCTAGCTAGGGCAATTAGGCAAGAAAAAGAAATAAAGGCGTTGAGAGTAGAAAGGAAGAAGTAAAACTATCTGCAGATGACATGGTGTTGTAGAGAGAAAACCTTAAGGTAGCCACAAAAATAACTATTAGAACTAATAAACAAGTTTAGCAGGTTACAGGATACAAGATCAATATACAGATATCAATTGTATTTCTATACACTAGCAATGAACAATCCAAAAATGAAATTAAGAAAACTTCCATTTAGAATAGAATCGAAAAGAATAAAATACTTAGGAATACAATTTATAAAAGTTAAATACAAGACTTGCA